CATGGTAATTCAAAATGACGATTCCCATCTGTCTCAGAGAGACAGTCTCTTAAAAGACAGACTTCGTAAAAGTGCGAGGGTACAGGGACAGTCCGAGCAGGACTGTGTATTGATAGGCCACTCCCTCAAATGCGAATTTCAAGAATGGTCTGTGACGGGGGAGTAGCCCAGGTTGAATAGAGCTTCCAACGCTCCTTGTTTAACAGAGGGATGGAGAGCGAGTGTGAGCATTCTTTGAGGGAGCTCCGGCCTTGGCGAGAACTGACCCTCTCCTGTTCCTCTCAAAGTGCTTTGCAGTGGGAGCAGCCTGCCCTGAGAGAGCAGCTTCAGCGTGAGTGTGGCCCAGACGCATTCAAATCTGATGCTGTCAGCGATAATAATTAGTGACAGCCAGGAGCGTAAATTTCATCTAACAGTTGGAGGGGACAATAAACATACATTTTCTCAAGAGCAATTTTTGAAGGGGACACAAATAATATAGCTAAAATTGTACTTGTAAGGATATGTATACACAGAGGAATGGCTTGCTACTATTAGTGCAGCAGGGAGACCGTGACAAATTAGACAACTTAAAGGGTTAGTTCACCCAAAAATGAAAATGAGTTTTTTATATATGAGAATATGAGAATAGTTTTTTGCGCAAAGAAAACAAAAATAACGACTTTATTCTGCAGACCCTAATAACGTGTATTTTAGCCCCCGGAATGCGATTTTTACTGGGGACCCCCTTGAAACGTGATTAGTTTGGGCTAGTTTTGGGCTAGCAATTGGGCGGGTTTTGTTGTGAAAACCTAGCAACCTTTTCCGTCAAGCAGGTAGCGTTATTATTGCTAACAGCAGACTCGTTGGAAAATACATTGGCATCATCTGTATTAAAGAGAAAATAATCACTTCATCCAATGTTTAAGATAATCATAATTTTAAGGGGGACAACCCTCAGATAGGGTCAAAGTGCTGCATGCATTCTACTCTGCTCAGCTTAAAAGGATAAAACCGCTCGTTGCAGACGAGGGGTCCTAATCCTCAAGTGTAAACACACTGGCGGATCAAAGTGCTGCTGGAAGAGTAAAGCACGTGGGACCTGTGCCGGCATGAGCTCACTCAATCCCGATTGTTCAGCCCTGCGACTTCACTGTTTCATTCTCCGAGCAGCTGGGAGGAGAGAAAAATGAGAGTGGAGGTGGGCAGGACCGCCTTCATTGAAGATGGTGAGCTGCAGGATGAGCTTATCCTTCTTCGGCTTCTTGATCACAGAGTCAGCAAAGAGATGGTCTAGTTGCTGAAGGAGAAAAATATGTC